TCCCTGGCTCCCCAGCAGCTCCTTCCACCTCTGTTCCCTGCTCCATCTCCTTTCAGGGCTCTCCTTCCAGCCACATCCCAAAGACCCAGCTACCCGCTAGATGTCTCTGGGGTCCCACAGAGCACTCCGACTCAGCATATCTCAGGGAGACTTCACTTTTTTCCTGCGCCCATCCAAACCCCATCCTCACATCATTGAAGTGTCATGACCACCCATTTTCTCATCCCTGCCCCTCACTGATCTTGGTTCTGGTCCTAGGCTCACAGCCTGGTCTGGGTGCATCTCAGAGGAAGGAAGATGAGGGAAGAACTGGCCAGGGCAGAGGGAGGTTCAATCCTTACTTGAGTAAGGACAAACTCAATCAGTACATCCAAGGGCACTGCCTGTCCGTGAGGGAAGCCACCTCCAAAAGGCCAGCTCAGGGTGACTCCCTCCTCTCTAGTCCAGCCCAAAAATCTGAAAAAATAAGCTCTGTGGCTGCTGTCTCATGCAGAGCCTCCCCACTACAGAGATACAATGAGTCCTGCCCCCTCCCCCAACTGTGCCAGCCCCTCCCAGGATGGGACACATGTGAAGTCCCCTAGCCCTGCAGCATAGTGTGCTGGTGGCACCAGTCATGTGGCATGACTTCCACATGTGAGACTCCAGGTCAGGTTGGCCCAGCCGTGACAGACCCAGTTTTAACAACGGGGGCTGAAGCCAGGCATGGTAGTGTACACCTGTCTGTAATCCCAGCTACTCAGGAGGCAGAGGCAGGAGGATCACAAGTTTAAGGCCAGTTTGGACAAAGTTAGGCACAAGACCCTATCTCACAAACAAAATACAAACCAAAGGGACTGGGGCTATGGGTCAAGTGGTATAATGCTTGCCTGGCATGCACAATGCCCTGGGTTCAATTTCTAGTACCACCAAAAAAAAAAAAATTAAAGAACTTATGCAGAGGGCAACTTGTGACTTGGGCTAATGTTTTAGTGGCTGTTTTTTTGTGAGAAACGCCCTGCGGGATGGGCAGGGGGGACTTTGTAGAAAGTGATGCTGAAATGTTGAGCCTGTCCACATGACTTGGGCTAGCTACTCTCCCTTAGCCTCAATTTCTCCCTCTAAAACGTGCAGAGGAAAGCTGATCTCGCGAACGGTTGAGGAGTTCAGGAAGGTTATGGCCAAGGTCATGCTCAGCTCCGGGCCTTTGGGGGAGTCGGTGAGTTCATGGATTGACAAGTGGAGCTCAGATGTTCTGGTGGACCATTGGGAGAACATTCACTGACAGTGGTCAGCAAGTGTCCCTATGGTCACCTTGTGGCACCCAAGGACCAGCAGATGGCCAGAGCACAGGACAGAGGAGCCTTATTCATCCCTTCAACCATCCAGCAGATACTTATTGAGCACTGCTAAGGATGTAGCAGTGAGAAAAAGGAGGTGAACTCTGCCTGCAAGGTGAGGGCAGCACAGAGCTTAATCAGTGATCCTAAGGTTGGAAGGTACTGGTGCCATGAGAATGGGTGGTGGGCTTCTTTTTGGTCTAGAGGCCAAGGAAAGTCTCCCTGAGGAAGTAACTCAGCTGGTATTAGAATTACCAGGTGGGTTGGGGAAAGGAGAAAATGAGTGTTCCAGACAGAGGGAACAGGATACACAAAGGCCCTGTGGCCAGAGAGCACAAGGGTCTCTTGGGAGCCAAGAAAGGATATTGAAGGAAGAAGCGCTTTTCTCTCTGAGGGGTCTGGAGAGGTTGGTGGTGCCTGACTCCTGCATCCCAGGTGGACAGGAAGCTTGTGGGGCTCGTAGGGACCGCCCATCTGCCTCAGTGCCCATCAGCTAGAAGAGAGGTGTGGACCTTTATTGAGCATCCACCACACCTGTTAAGCATAGCATGCCTTGCCTCTTTTATCCTTATAGGTTAGGTAGGCAAGTGTCAGTCATTCTTCCTTCTCCCCAGCAGATGAAGAAACTGAGGCCCCGAGTAGCTAAGCAACCTGTTCTAGGTCATGCAGCTAGGAAGTAGATGAGTCTGGGTTAGAGCCCAGGACTCTGAACCTTTTATTCTCCATGTCCCATTTCATCCATGGCAGAAGACTAAGTCACATACTATGACCTAGGCAAGAGGCCTGAATTCCTCAGAACTCTGGAGTGTGGGTGCTGTGTGACCATGATGGACTACAGAGTCCTTGGGAAGTATGATTCCTTGACACCAGCACTCCTGTCTTTTCCCCTACTACCTGCTCATCCACGCTCTGCTTTGGCCCTGAGGGATAGGGGGCTTCACCCCGAAGAAGCTAAGCCCCTTCTCTCTTTGGGTAGTTCTGAGCAGAGAAAAGGGGAAACTAAAACACAGAAAAGCTCTTGGAACTAGGATTGTCCATTTCCTTGTTGACTTCTTAGAAGGCAGTTCAGGCCCCTTTGTGTGCATGCATGCGTGCGTGAGTGTGTGAGACTGTGTTCAACGCACTTGAGAATCATATTAAAACATAGTTTATTCTAAAGATCATTTGAAATTCAGGGCCCTCGACGGGAAGAGGCTCCAAGTGAGAAGCCTGGGCAGGCAGTAAGCCCCCTTTGAAGAAGACCACCCTGGCCAATACTTGTAGATACAAACAACCCCCAGAGGGTCACAGCCAAGTCACACTGCTCACTTGCATAAGCAAAGTGTCAGCTCTGAGAACAGAGGAGTCAACAGGAAAAGGATGTTATAAACAGACCCTCCACTTGGGAGGCCATAATTACAGGTTTCTGTTGTAGTGGAAGCCCAGGCTGGGGTGGGCCTGTAGCATGTCGTCTTTACCCCTCACCCCCTAGCCCTGTCTGCATACATTTAGAGGCTTGAAATCAGACAGAATCATCAGGATATGTCAAGATGTCGAGCCAGGGCCTCCACAGGTTCTCAGAGCCCACTGAGAACCGAGCCTGTTACAGCCATGCCTGACCCAGCCCAGTGGCAGGGAAGGGCCACCTCCTCCATGAATCATACGCTTAAACAGTGTGTCCTGCCCACTCCTCCTGAAGTCATTGCTGAGTAAATACAGCCACCAGTGCGTATTCCTGCCTGGGCTGCACGCAGTCCACGCAAAGTCAGCGCCCAGGACTTTGGTGAGTGGCAACATTTGAGGCTGGAGGCAGAGGGTCAGGTGTTGTGATCTGGAGAGATGGTTGGGGAAAAAGAGAGGGGGAGATGGCTCAGATAGGAGAGGCAGAGAGACGGCGTGCCCAGGTCAGACTCCCCACAAGTGCCTGCAGGAGCTATGGTTCTTCCTTCTGTCACTACACTACCACCACCACCACCACTGTCATCACCATGGTGATGACCATCTCCTCCGCCTCCCATCACCAGCATCATCTCCATTATCACCATCACCATGATCATCACCAATATCAACATCCTTGCTGCCACCACCCCCACCCCAGCTGTCACCATCACCCCATCACCATGGTCACCATCACTGACATCATCCCTGGACAGTGGCCGTGTGTGCTCTGCACGGTGAGTCTTTGCTTCTTCGGGGAGTCAGCTGATATGGCCTATACTAATAGTACAAGGACAGTTATTAGTAATATTAAGGTAACTATGGCACAAATCATTGCTAAGATTGCTAGATTTTATCACTAATAACACAAATAGTAAGAGCTGGCACATTTGAACTGTGGTCAAACATACTTTGCTTTGAGTCCTCCCCATCCCCAGCAGGCACTCCATCCCTACTTTGCAAAGATGGAAACAGACACAGAGAGGTTATTGATTTTCCCAAGGTCACCTAGATGTTATGTGAAGGAGTCTAGATTGGTGCCCACCCTACCAAATTCTGAAGAGTGGGGCCCCTGTCCTGCACCATGCCACATCTCGGCCACCAGGGTCTCTGCTTTCCTAAGTGACCAGCTCTTGCCTCGCATTTCTAGTCTGAACACCTGTGAAGCCACAACCCGGCTGGTCCCTGAAGGATTTAGGAAATACCTTTTGAGCACTTTTGTGGACATTACAGCAGCGAGGTCTATTGGTCTCTGGAGCTTGTGAGGGTGACCATCAGGTGGCAGCAATAGTGACAATGATGATGAAGAAGAGAAAGTCAGCTGCCACTACCCATGATGATGGTGCTGGTGATGGCGATGGTTCAGATGGTGGTGATATTAAGGATGCACACTAATGATGACAGCAGTTTTTGGGTGGGGACCGTCCATGGCCAGGAGCCATCTCATTTCAGCATCACAACTATGTCAGGTAGCCATCATCTTTACTCCTATTTCTGAGGCTTAAAGAAGTTGCTTGGTCCTCAAGATCCCAGTGAGCACCCTTACCAGCCACCCCTCCACTTAGGATAGGGTTTGTGTCCTGATAAACCCAGTGGGAGTTGAAAATATTGTAAGAGGGAAATGCGTACAACACATCTACCCTGTCTCATGCCGGCTTGGCCATAGGACACTGTCATGTTGTCATTCACCTTCGAGTTCCAGGGGCTGACTGGGAACCATTGTCACTCCCGATACCCAGCATATCCAGACTGGGAAAAAGATAAAAATTCAAAGTACGGTTTCCACTGAGAGTGTAGCACTTTCACACCATTGTCAAGGTTGAAAATTGTTCCGGGCAGTAGTGGTTCATGCCTGCAATCCTAGCTACTCAGGATGGTCACAGTTTGAAGACAGGCCAGGCAAATAGCTTGCAAGACCCTAGCTCGAAAAACCCTATCACAAAAAGTAGGGCTGGTGGAGTGGCTCAAGGTGAAGGCCCTGAGTTCAAGCCCCAGTACTGAAAAAAAAAAAAAAGTGAATAAACCATCTGACTTGGAGACTGTCCACTGGAAGAATAATGGGCAGAACCTGTCATTTTATGTCTTTGCTTCCTTTCCACCTTGAATGGTTAGAGAAAGCTGCACAGGTCATTAGCCCCATTTCACAGATGAGCAAGCTGAGACACGTGTAGTGGCACAGTGAGTCCCGTGTGGCCACCCACCTGCCCTGCTCCCCCAGGGAGCTGCAGTCACCCACTTATGTCCTGTCCTGTGTTGGTCCCACAGACCCGGTGGCGCTGGGGACTCCACTCGCTCCTGCGGAAGGCATGTCGCATGGCACTCCCGTTGCAGCTGCTGCTCCTGCTCTTCCTGCTCCTGCTCTTCCTACTCCCTGCCGGGGTTGAGGAGCGCAGCTGCTCCATGGCCAACAACCTTGCCCACTCCTTCACACTCATGCTCCGCTACAACGGCCCTCCGCCCACCTAGCCCACTGGGGCACACAGGTGACATTCCTCCTGCAGCCTCCAGCCGAGCCAGGGCTCCTCTGAGACTGCAGGCTGGGGAAACTGGAAACACTTGGCCAGGGATGGAAGAGACCTACGGTATAGATGCTGCGTCAGCTCCCAGAACAGATTTACTTTTTATACACCAGTATCTTTGTCTATTTATACTAAATGTGTACTATGTGTAACTAGGGAATCATGTACAGATTTTTATATGTAACTGCTCACATGTATAATTTCATATATGATGCCTGTCTTTCGTTAGGGGTTTCCCAGCTGTGTGTTTCTCCAGTGCAACTGTATGGCACTTGTGTCTGCAGTCAGCTCTGGAAGGCAGGAATAATGACATATCACTTTTTTTGTCACTCTCTTACCCAGAAGCCAACCTTGACCCCAGATATTAATGAAAAGACCTCTGAACTGTCAACAGAGTAGAGCAGATCGGGGCTGGGTACTGAGGCTCAAGTCTGTAATTCCAGCTACTCGAGAGGTAAAGATTGGGAGAATCTAGGTTTAAGGCCAGCACAGGCAAAAAGTTTCCAAGACCCCAACTCAAGCAATAGCTGGGCACGGTGGTGTGCACCTGTGATCCCAGCTATGCAGGAAGCACAATAAGTGGACCACAGTCCAAGCTGGCCTTGGCATAAAATGAGACCCTGTCTCAAAAATAACCAACATGTAAAGGGCTGGCAGAGTGGCTCAAGTGGTAGAGCGCCTGCCTAGCAAGTGTGAGGCACTGAGTTCAAATCCCCAGTGCCACATCAAAAAAAATAAATAAATAAAAAGGAAAAAAAGGACAGACCCTCACTCAGAGCCCAGTGACTCTCACTTTATACACAGTGGAAATGAATGTGCCTGGTTAGTTTTTAAAAGCACAAAGATCAGAAGTAGAAATGCTGATGGCCAGAGGCAGACACAGTGATAGCAGTGAGAAGTGACGAGTGCAAATGTGACATCAAGGGGGGAAAGAAGAACTGGAAGAACAAACACAGAACTGAAAAAGCTCAGTGTACTGGTGTCACTGGGTGCAAGACCCTCTCCCCCCTCCCAGCAGCCTCTGGTAGGAGCAGGGAATACCCACGGAGACTTTAGAGGTGGACAGATTTGGCTTTGTGTGTTTTGTTCCCAGAGAAAGGGAAGGAGATAGAATTTACTTTTTATCCCCATGTGGAAGGGTGAAACACACTCCGTGTGCAGCAATCCCTGAGGACCCCAGGAACAGCATGTCACCTGGCTACTACTGGGCTGAGGGCAGCAGGGAAGCACCTGCCTTTCCAGGGATCAGGGAATCAAGGGTCCAAGACAGAGTTTGAGACTCAGCTGAGGGGCTTGACCTGTCTGAAGGGTTCCCCTTCTCCTTCCATTGGACCAAGAATGTCCCCCACACACTCCTGCATGGGACCAGGGCCTTGGCCACCCAATCTGGCCTCTCTGGCCAAGACTAGACAAGGTGGGCTCCATGCAGATGTGGGAAGGGACCAGGCTGAGTTCAGGTTGGACTGTGAGGCTGGAAACATGCCTCTTCCTTGCCCGAGCCTTCTGGGATGGCTCCTAAGTGCTTTAAAACTGGATCGTGTTTTCCCTAAACTGACACTAAATTTTGTCTTTTTAAAAAATACTTAGTGCCCATTCTTTACAGATGAATTTTGTCTGTTCAGCTATGAATGGGAACTCCAAGGGGGATGTCCTCAAGGCCTTGTATCACATCTGGAATCATAGTGTTACAGAGAGGCACTTTAAACCGAGGGGAAGCTGAGGCCCTAAGCGGGTCCTGAACCCCATATTGCGCTGTCATGTGCACACGAACCCCTCCCATCCTAGCGTCAGGCCTGGCCACTGGGCAGCTGGCATCATGTGCACAGTAATTAGGAAGAGCTGGGCATTCGTGGGGCAGGAAAGCAGTGCTAGAGGAACCCTTGGTACTGACCAGAAAGCGCACTTCTCTCTGGGCATTTGGAAACCCAGCTACAGGGCCAGAGAGAGAGACAGGGAGGGAGAGAGAAGGAGAGAGGGAGAGAGGAGATTACCATCAATGCAATGGTGTTGCCTGTACTACTTGTGGGGGAGGGGTGAGAAAACCTCTATTTTTAAACTTTGACAATGATGCTGTAAAGTCTGCTTGTTTGCATAACTTTTTTTTAAACAGAGAATTGATATTTTTATTACTTTCATATAAATGCGATTGTAATATGATGTAATAACCTGTGGCAGGTGCTTTTCAAATGTAATCTCATTGCTTAAAGTAGGTGCCGACAGCTGTTATTTTTCGTGGCGTTACTTTCCAGCCTCTTTAACAACAGCCATGAAGAGCTTGAAGGTGCCATTTGAGGATGGTGTCTGAGGACCCCATGTGCCTGTATTGTTCCTCTTAGGAATTGGTGATAGGACATGGGACTATCACAGCCCAGCCTAGGCTAGGGATGTATGTATGTGTGTGTGTGTGTGTGTGTGTGTGTGAGAGAGAGAGAGAGAGAGAGAAGGGGAGAGACCCAAATAGATTACTGTTGGTTACCCTTCACCTGTCCTCCCTTCCCTGTCCTTTTCTTCTTTGTCTATTGGTCTGTTGTTCAGGTGCAGAACACCACATGCTAGACTCAGAGCATTTATAAAGTAAGGATGGGAGAGGATGGAATGGGCAGGAAAGGGCTGCAGGTAAGGCCAGGAGACCCTGGAGGTGCCCAGTGGGAAGGGCAAAGGGGATGCTATCCTCAGAAACAAAGGCCACCCTCACTGGGCACTGCAGTACCTGGTGGGCACTTTACAACTCCCGCTCCTCTTCAACTCCCGATATCTCTTCAGGGTCAGTGCTCCACCTCCCTTATTGCATCCATGGCAGACATGAGGAGTTGATGATTGAGATGTGCTCCTCCAACCTGAATGGACCTCATAGGCTTCAACTGATGCCAGTAGCTGCCATCTATCATCATGTTTGTCCTGTGAGAAAGACCCATTTGACATTGTAACACCTGTACCAGAATTGAGTAGACAATTCTAGCCTGCCTCCTTCCCTCTCTCCTTCCCCCTTTCCTCCCCCTTCCTTTCTTCCTTCCTTCCTTCCTTCCTCCCTCCCTCTCCATTCCCCTTCTTTTCTTCCTTCTCCCTCCCTCCCCCTCCCCTCTTCTCTCTCCCTACCCTTTCCCCCTTTCCTTGCTCCCTTCATTCCTTTCAATTTATGCTAAAGTTAGGACATTTCCAATCAAAAATCATTTTTCCTTTTCTGATACTTGGATGAGGCAGGCTAACCCCAGGAGCAGGTCCTGAAGTAAACCAGCAGGTAGGACAAAGAGAAGGGGCAAATGCTGGATGTTCTGTTGGGGGACCATCCCTGGGTTTTCAGGCTATCAGGGGAGGACTGTCATGTTACAACTTGGTGCCTGTTTTACAGATTGGAACAACAAGGCTGCAGCAGCTCATACTCACTCAGGAGTTAGTTCCAAAAGTGGGGTGATGTGTGCACCTTGCACCTGGCAGGTTTAGTGGAAGTGCTGCTATTTAAAGGCTGTGTGGCCAGTCAGGGAAGCTCCCCTGGATGGAGTGTCAGATATTCTAGGAAGACGAAGGTGCCTACCTTCGTCTACCTGTGTAGAGGTGAAACCTCCAGATTCAGCTACAAGTAACATAATTCCCCTCCCCCACCAACTTGGGCTACAAACAGTTAAAGACTTCACATCTCTCTCCCTCTGAAAAGTCTAGAGATGGGAGTGACTGGCACCATTTCCTCAGCTCAAGAATGTCAGAGCCAAAGTTTTGCAACTCTTCTTTCCTTTGGGTCATGATCACCTTATGGCCCAGGAGGTGGTTGCTCCATCTCCATTTTTTCATCTGTGTTCCAGGCAGAAGGGAAGGAAGCGAACCAGCTGAGTCTGCTCTCATAAAATGTGTTCCCAGAAGCTTCACCCAGTTATGTCTTTTCTCCTCTCGCTGGCCAGGACTGTGTGACATGGTTTTCCCACATTCACAGTGTTTGGGAACATGCTCCCCACAAAATGGGACTCTTGTCATAAGAAAGAAGGGTAGAATAGATTAGGGTGACACTTAGAGGCCTCTGCCAGTGCTGGAGAAAAAGTGCAGGGTTCATCCCGATCCCCCACTTCTGGATCTTATGCTCAGCTAGCAGAATCTGGAGGTGTTCATCCTTGAAGTGCTGAGAGTGGTGTCCCCACTGCCTGCCACCTGCTGCCAGTCAGCAGGGGTCCCTGGGCCCTTTCAGTCCAATCACAGGTATTGCAAACATCCTTTTTGGGGAGCCTGGGAGTGGACAGGTGCAACGAGTGACGGCCCTCATCAGAGCTTGTGTGCAGAGACGGCGCCCCCCTCATCCTGCTGTGCCTCCCATGCCGGCTTATTACCCCCACTTTGTTTGTTTGGATTCAGCCCAGGAAATTCACATCAGCTTTAACTTGCTCTTGGACATGACAAGCTCCTGGGAGCAAATCCTAGAAAGGGAGGGGATGTCTTGAGCTTTTTCAGGCCAGTCCCTGGCTCTCTAGCAGACCACTGAGGCCTGGAGAGGGAGGCAAGCTCCCCTCCTCTACAGGGAGCCCCATCATCCAATAGACAGAGCCTGTGGCTCCTCCAGCAGAAAGCAGCAATGAAAGGACCTAAGACCAGCTGTCATGTCTCCTAAGCTCCAGTGTGCAAGAGCAACACCTTCTGTCTGTCCTCAGAAGAACAAGGAGGAATTTGTTTCCAAAAGGACATTAAAAAACAAAAGCTCATGATCTAAAGACACTTCTTATGCTAGGACACCCAGAGCCTCACAGAACAGTCAGTGGACTCAGTGTCCGCCCCGCCCCCACCCCCAGCACCTGCCTATCTTTTAGCTGTCATGGAAACATCATAACTTACACGATGGTACCCAACCACCTGGTCCAGACAGGGGACAGCAGTCACATAGAGGGGCCTCAGTTTCTCCAAAGGATCCTAGGCTTCTGTTCTGTGCTCAGCAACAGGACAGTCCACTCCTAGCACCTCCTGGGGGATGAGGGACAAAAGCCTGCAGCCCCTCCTCCCATTCTGATAAAAAGGGAGGAAAGAAACACACATTAGGGGCCTGGAATATGGTCTGACTCCTAAGAGCCTAAGCTATGGACAGATGCTAAAGCCAGAGCATAGAGAGGTCTGCCTAAGAGCAACCAGCTGGTAGGTAAGTGGTAAATGTGAGACTTGAACCCAGGGATCAGGGGGCCCAAATCCGATGCTCTTTCTGCCACCTCAGGGAGCCTTCCTTCAACCTTAGTCACCTTTCTTTCCCTTATGGGTTGCTATTTTGGCCACTGGCTAGCTGGTTGTAAAGTGCCATTCCTGAGTGGACACTGCAGGGCTTCATCCCCAGGCCTACACCCACCAAGGAGCTCTTTGACTCATGGGGAACTGGCAGCACCAGGATGGAGTGCCAGAGGACAAGACAGGACTGATGTCTGTCTGCCTCCCCCTGGAAAAACAGACACAGACCACCACTCACGGGGCAGGTAGAGGACAAAGGTCACTGCCTGCTGCTCAGCTCTGCTCTTTCCCAGGGGAGGAGAAGAAGCAAGGGCTGCATGGGTTTC